TTTACCATAAATATAACTTATAGATATGTACAAGATGAGATACTTTTCACACGATTTCAGAGACATGTGTGTTTTCGTGGTAGAAACCCCATGGAAATAGCCCATTGGATTACTCGTCTGTTCCAACGATCAGCAACGATAATCGAATGATTCTGTTGATCAACAATCACAGCTGATGAATAATTCAATTGATTCATTTGATTTCCTTGTCCATTTCCACCTGCAATGATTTGTCCTTCTTCTGCATTATATTTCCATTCAACAATACGATGATTGCCAGAATCAGCAATGAAAATATTTTTCTTTTGATCAATAAAGATTCCATGAGGATATTTGAGTTGATTTAATTCTTGTCCTAATCCATTTCCACCAGCCACAGTGATGGCATTTTGTTTCCATTTATGATTGATCTTATCTAAAACAGATGGAAAATATAGTTACAAATATCTTGAGAGTGTGAATAAGAGTGTTGCATCTATCATCCACCGATTCACTCACTTTTCATTGGTGGACAGATACTTTGATCAGTCATTGTAAGTGGGTAACATACAGGAAGATCATTACATTGTGGATGTTGAACACACGTCGTATTAGGTTGAGAACATGAATAGTCTGATGAATTACACAGTACAAGATGAGAACATGCTAACCAGCGGAAACCACAAATGCCTGTATCGTTATGAGCACCTATTACATGAAAGTATCCACATGCACTGTTTGTCGAACATTCACCATATTGCGTTGTGTTCTTACATATTTGAGATTTGTTTTGAACTATGAAAGTTATAAACTAATACATATAAACATATAAAATAGAATACAAATCAAACCTATTATACTAAAATATAAAATGAATTGATGTCAACAGAATGAATGATAAAAATGAATAATTCTTTACCTAAGAATAATGAAAACGACGTAGCAGTAGATATTGATTGTGGTCATAGGTGATTTTAGAATAAGCGAATATAATGAAAAAATGTGTGTTTTTATTTCTAAAACACAGATAATAATATCTTAAGGCAATATAATTGAAATATAACAGATGCATTTATTCACATATCAGTAAGTCGAAATTTGATATCGATTTCATTTCTTCTAATCTTTCTGATTCTATTCCGCCAAAAATGTATAGATAATTATGTGATAAAGTTAAGATAGAAGTGGTATTAGTATATTTTGAAAGAGTGAAATATTTATCAATAATAGTAGGAGTGGGCGGTTTTAAGAGGGTTGGTGTGGGTGTGAATAAAGAAGCCAACAACGCCCAACCCACTCTTGTTTAATAAGAATAAATGCGAAAACTTTGGATCTTATCCAAGAGTTATGTGTACTGCAAAAATTGTATATGGAGATCATAAGAAAATATCAGTATTTTCGAAATAACTCGAGAATGGCTCGTCCAATTAGGCTCAAGTTCGAACTCGACCGAGATCTTTATGAGACTGAATTGTGTAGAAAATGTCATCAAAATTTGTCTCTTCTTTCGAAAGTTATGGTGTAAACGGCCGGACACGCTGACCGATTCTAGTAATGCACTCACTGTTTGAGTACACAAAAATGAGTAATTATCACTTTTGAATCTTTTGTTAATAATATTCAAAAGTATAGAAACTTAATTTTTTAGAATAAAATAAAAGTTTTATTTGATAACACATTTGACATTAAACATAATCATCATTCATTTGTACTATTCTACACTTATTATTATTGTGTTATTGTAACCTAGAGATTTAATAATACAGTTTAATCAATACTCGAACTTTATTTATTTTTACACATTAATAAACGAAAATAAACAATATAAAACTAAATATGACAACATGTTGATTTCACTGCGAATCATACTTACAACAATAATATTCAATAAGAATTTTATATTTATAGATAAACAAGAATAACTTCTCTTATATACTCACATAAAAATGAAAGATCTTAAAAAAGTTAAAGTAATTCACATTTAATAAATATATAAGAATATATTCATAAGATTGATTTCACTATTGACATTGTAGACAAAATACAGCTATTGAGTACCGATAATCGTTTTTATATGTACTGCGACTCGCATGGTTTGATTGACAGGCATCACTGTGTTTGTTGTTCGTAAGTTTAAAACGATATTTTTCAGTTGTGGAATACAAAAGAGTAATGCTACACTCAATACTGCTCCAGATACGCTACCTGGAAACAATGAAATTCGAGCAAGTAATGGATTCTCTTCACCTGTTATTATAAACATAAATATAAGAACCATTGAAGGTATTCCAAAAATAAGTAATAAATTAATAATAATTAAAATACGTCGAATAATAATTAAATCTCGAGATTGTCGTTGTTTAATTACTAATGTTTGAATATTTCCTTGGTGATGAATAAATCTTGTTATATGTATATAAATAAATAATATACAACAAAATGGACCTATATAAACAATAAATGCTGTTGAAAGAATACTAGGAATATTTGTGAATGTTGAACAACAAAAATGATCATTTGGTAAATATGTTATACCATTGAAAGGTATAAGAACACATAGAAGAATACATGTTAGGATTATTATTTCTATAAATGGTAACATTATATAGAATTTCAAAGATTGAAATCGTCTATTTCGAAAATAAACGATTCGAATTAGACGATAGAATGCCTAGAATTATTTAAAAAACAATATATGAATTTTTTAATTTCGATTATTTCGAATTATCTGATTTAGAAAATTCAAGTATAACATACCAAGTAATACAATAGCTAGATATCCCGAAAAAATACACCATGATGAATCAAAAGATTGATTATACAAATCACCCAGTATTGATCGAACACTCATTGATATTAATATTATTGCATTAATTAAAATCGCTGAATATATATATGACCACAAAGAACAAGAGTTATTTTATCTTCACGTTTGACATGATTATAATAAAGATGATACATAATAATAAGAAAAACTATACATGATATCAAACATTCAAATGTATTAAAGCCAAGAGAAATCGAACTAAGTATAAAACCATTGGTTTTTATTTGATCATTAATCATGATAGAAGTTTGCATTGAATTCAATTATATATTTGAAATATCTAATATATAGAAATAGAATTAATAAAATGAGGAAATGCTTCTGAAAAATAATTAAAATACTTGAATAAAAAATATAAACGTCCATAGGAAAAGCCTTATACGTAGAAACAAATTTTATTCTATTTAAAACATTATTAAATAACAATAGTTGGATTATCTATTATAAAGAAAAATTTGTTTTTTTATCAATATAGTTTAAAAAGCTTTCAGTGCAATCCCTTCGGGATTAAAATTGTAAAACACGATGTAACTGGTGTTGCTTATAGGAAATATAGTTTATATTTATGACTTTGAAGCATACCTATTGTAATTAATGTTGTTTCACCGTTACATCTGTCAAAGTCCTTGTAGGCCTGCCGATCACGTTCTACGATGCTTTGTCGGTCACGGTCTGTGATAGTTTTTGAAATTCTGTCGGTCACGGTCTGTGGGGGGGGGGGGGGGGGGGGGGGGTCCGTTTTCTACTCTTAAACACTTCAACACTCCTTTTAGATCGTGTTTCACAAAATAAAATAATGATATATCTCGAATAGAAACAATTATTTGTTAAAACTCCTAGTTTAAATGCTTTTTCTGTATCTATACTGTCAAAAGAATTTCAATCTAAACTTTATGGATATTTAAATATATTTTGTCTTAATCATTTGTATATCTCAAGACAATAGAATACTCTTACCTTTACAATTAATATGAATTGAGATTTCGGTCATATTTTATGGTAAAAGAGTATAATGAGGTTATTCTTCTCGACAGTAAATGATAGACTTGTGCTATTTTAGAGCATCATTATGAAAAAAACGTCTATACAAAAGACTAATTAAGGCTACTATTCTTTATTAGCGACATGTTAATTACTTTCTGCTCTTATAAATTTGTCTAATTATGATTTGAAATAAAATATAAATACATAATTATATCTCGAAACATCTGAGAGGAGACTTATGATGATTTTTATGTTTTAACTAGATAGGTTCCTGATATATTGCTAGTCAATGCAAACTTCGTTCTCATTCATATAATAATTGACTGTCGACTATTACATTTTTAAGAACATATTTCTATTATTATTAACAAAATCTAACAGTGATCTCTTGTATTAATATTTATATGAAGAGAGAGGTATATACTTATTTGACTATGATATAATACTGTACACATGTTATATAAAAAAGATTAGTTTTCTATATCAGTTACAGAATAATAAAGATCGTTTTTTTCCTTTTATTGAAACAGTCTTATTTTAAAAAAAATTCTTTTTCAAATTTTTTCTTTGAATAGAATTTGATATAATAATGCAAAATAATTAAATATTATCAAACAAAGAAAGAATGCACTCATTTGAATAAAGGTTAAAAGAAGATCTGTTGAATATTCTATAATAATATGAATTACACTTGTACCTTGTTGGACTAATATAAAAAAAGAATTAATGATTTGTTTCTTTAACTTCTCATATGACGAACTACTAATCTTTTTCTTTAGAGAGCTGAAGTCAAAATTATCATCGTTTTGTGATGAAAAAATAAAATGTTTTTCTTTGAAAACAAAACAGTCGAAAGTTCTAATCAGATAATAATTGTTATTGATATAATGGGGATAACAATATTATAGATCCTTCTATATCATAGTTTAAAAAATGGATACTATTTTTGGAAAAGAAATTCATTTTTTTGAAAACGTTTTCATTGCTATACACATCTACCAAAAATAAAAGTTTCCTTATAGGTTTATATGATCTGTAGAATCAATGTTTAATGATATATCTTTTGATAAATGATATTTATCTTCTTTCGCGTTTATATGTTTCTAGTAGAAATAATATATGTCATTAATAGTTTGACAAATTTCGATGAAATTGGCATTAATTCTATCTACTTAACAAAAAAATCCTGTGTTGTTCTCTTATCACTTACTTTAATTCATATAAATGATATTACTATTAACATATTTTTCTTGAATCTGTTTTTGACAGTTCCTAAATTGTGTATTTAAAAAGAAAAAAGTATTTTTATTTATACTTCATGTCATATACAATTCATAAAAGATAAATTCTTTTTGTTCAACTACTCATTAATTTTCTTCTATATTTTAATTCTTATCACTTACTATATTATCATAATTACTTCTTTCCTCTAATCAAAGTAACACTGATAGTTATATTTAGAAAAAAAAAGAAGAAAAGAAGTCAAATTATTAAGACGGTGAATTATTAAATAATAGAAAAAGTTCTCTTTCTCGTAGAGAAGAGTCCAGTAAGAATAAATTGTTTACTTGCTTGCTTGTTTGGGTGTCTCCAGAGTCCAAAAAACATCAAAAATCAATTTTTTAAAAGGGATATTTCTAGAGGGTTTTCGATGCGGGGAGTTCGAATATGAGGCCTATTGGGTGGCCATAGTTAGGGGTGAGTGGGTGTGGATGAAAGGTCAAAAAAACATTAAAAACCAATTTTCTGGAAAAAATATTTCTAGAGGTATTCCAATGTGGGGACTTCGAATTTGAGATCTGTTGGGTGACCATGGTTAGGGGTGGGTGGGTGAGTGAAGAGGGGTCAAAGGTTAAAAGAACATCGAAAATAAATTTTTCACGTTTTTTATTTTTTTTCCCCAGTAAATGTGAAGAAAACAGATTTCTACGAGAAACAGCTAAGCGAGTCCTCGGGCGAGCGTTACTTGTTATATTTCGTATCTAATTACTCAATTTTGAATTGATATTAAAAACAAAAAAAATATTTTTTCAAAACTTCTTGATTTTCTAGTTAAATTAAAATGTTTGTTTTTCTCAATATTATTTTGAAATAAATGAATCTAAATGCATTTATGTGCTATCTGACTATTTTTTCGATCCTACGCATTGAGATATATTTCTTCAATAATATGAATTTTTCCATCATCACTAAACTTCAAAGTTAAAACCAATCATCTCAATATTAAAGGTGAATTTAGATTTATTCTTTCTTTATCAACACCGAAATTACACAAAAGATGACATGAACATATAGCTATATGGTTATGTAGATTAAAATAGATATAGTAAATTGATTAGTAAATATTAAAAAATATTCTAATATTCTTTCTGATTGATTACTAATATAAACAATCTATTCTAATCCATCAATGATTTTATTTTATTTATTCTAAACTTTCTTGAGGGTGGGTGTGGGTATGGGTGCGTGTGTGAGTGAGGGACACATTCACACCCACCCACCCACACCCACACCCTTAGACGAATAAAAAAAACAGCTGAAACTCAGGAGAATGACAAAAAACAAGTCTCAGAATAAAGAAGTAGAACTATTCGTATTGAAACTCATCAGATCATTTCTTTTAGCCGAATATTCAAAAATAAGCGACGGAAGGAAAACTAGGGTGGGTGTGGGTTTAGAGACTAAATAAGATCTAAATTCATACCAACACCCACTCTCACGCTTAAAACAATCTAAACTTTGTTTTCATTAAAACGTTTCTTATATATCAGAATGCTTGTTTATTTGAGATAACGCAAATGAAAAATTTTGGTATGCGTGGCGACACAGGTATACACCTAAAATGTTTTTGTATCTTCACCCACACCCACATCCTTATATCCTACACGGCTGATGCTTTATGAACCATTTTGAGGGTGTGGATGTCAATATAAAAAAAACAATGATCGAGCTCTTATTATCACACACTCTTAATTCGATAGCTTTACTAATTTGTGTTCTATAGAAACATAAACTGTATTGAACGTTTTTTATTGAGAATATTGTGTTGTGTAGATTGGCAAAAAATGTATAGAAATCAAAGAATAAATCCAAAAAGATTGTACCTACAAAAATGAATAAATAAATTAGGTTATAAATAAGATTTATAATGAACTTTATTTGTTATTAATGAAAAATACTTTAAAAAGTGACAAAAAAAAAGAATTATTTATCAAAAGTCATTTTATCACCAAAAACTTGTTTCAGTCACGATCAATAATAAATTTTTGTATTCGATTATTACCTCTATCGACAACATAAAGATTACCATGATGATCAAATGATAAGTCTTCTGCATTTATGAGTTGCATGGATCCGCTTTCCCATTGAATTTCACCAGCGACAGGGGTACCTTCTATTGCACCTAGCGACCAACGCGTTATCTGATGACTTCCGCCCGTCGACACATAAATATTACCCGTATGATCAACAATTACACCGATGGGGTAATTTAGCGGACTGGGATTCATATCAGATGCTTGCCCAGGAGCAAAACGAACGCCTTCGGTAGCATTTTTCATCCATATCATCACACGACTATTCACATTATCCACTACGTAAACTGTATAATATTCATCGACGAAGATGAAAAAAGGTCCATTAAGTTGATTAAGCTCATTTCCTACTCCATGTCCACCTGCTACAATTATACCTACTATATCTCCTTCCTGAAAACGTCTCACTTGATGGTTTTCCATGTCAGAAATATAAATATCTCCATTACTATCCATTGCAAAACCCCGGCAAATAATACTAGGTATCCATATTTCTTGATTCTGACTATTTTGACGAGACCATCTTAGCACTCGTCTGTTGCCGTTATCACAAATGATGATGTATTTCTTCTCTTTATCAAGAATTACATCCACTGGAAAATTTAATTGATCTATTTGACTTCCACGTCCATTTCCACCTGCAACGATTTTACCATCCTTTGCGCCAAGTTCCCACCTAACAATACGATCGTTCATACCTTCAGCAATGTAAATACTTTCATCATCGTTATCAACATAAATACCCATAGGAAAATTTAATCGATGTAGTTCATTTCCTTGTCCATTTCCTCCAGCAACTGTAACTGCATGCTGTTTCCATTTTGTATTGCTGTCAATGACGACAGAAGGAAGTATTTGTACTAAAAAACATTAAAAAATATTTCAATTTCTTTTTTTTTTTTGTATATCTAAAAATTATTTCTTAAAAATAAAACATATTTTGTTTTATCCTTTATATTGTTTCTATCTCACTACATAGAAATTACGAGAATGTGGATGTGGGTGTAGATGGATGAACTATAAATTCGATATCATCTTCTCATTTATCTTTCAGTGAACCTTTCAATATTATTCTACAAAAATATGATCTATGACTATCAATTATTGAATATAAAACTATTTTATGTTATCATTCGAATAAAAATATTTAAGATTGAAGTATAAAAATTAGTTTTAACAATAATTTATTTTTTATGAATTCTTTCAGATAAGAAACAAACTAGTTTTAATAAAATCATACCAGTCCTTGTTGTCGTTGTCGTTGTCGTTGTTGTCGTTGTCGTTGTCGTTGTTGTCGTTGTCGTTGTTGTCGTTGTCGTTGTCGTTGTCGTTGTCGTTGTTGTTGTTGTTGTTGATGTTATCTCTGGTGTTAATGCTTTTTCCATTTTTCTGTTTTTTCGTGTAATAATGATTGCTGGAATAATTATAATTAAATCAATACAAATAATCAAAATTATTATGCATATTATTTTTTTCTTTCGAGAATGTTCACATCTGAAAGAAGAAATTCTTTTGATAATTTATTGTAGTTCATAATATTTACATACAATCTTCGTGATGGTGTTGTATCAGAATTAGTTTCAACAGACTAAAATATTCAAAAAGAAAAAGAGATTATTTTTTTTCTATTTAATACATTACTTCTTCAACTCCAACTCTGTTATTCATGTTCATAATTGTTCTTTTCACTAAACTTGAATACTTTTACAATCTAAAATCAAGAAAAAAAACTCTTTTTCTTCAAAGATCATTGATCCATATTGATATAATTATAGAAAACATAAACTATCTCTCGTTGAATATTGTTTTTGTGTTGATGAGATATGATATATATCATGAATGAATCGATTTAAACCAAAACAAAACAAAACAATGTTAAAATAAAGTTTTGATTTCTTTTTATGTGAGTTAAAATGATATATATATTTCTCTACTTGTTATCTCAATTAAATAGAAACTACTGTGCATGACTTAAATAATCAGTTGAGAATATTATGATATTTGCAACAAAAACAAAATGTTAGATCAATAGAAATATTAATCATATTTCCTTTTTTTTCAAAGTCAGTTTTGAATAAAATATTGGCAGATGTGAGTTGTTATTTTATATTAATGTGAAAAGTGTTTTGAATAAAATACAGAAGTAAATTATTATGATTATTTAGAAAAATAAAAAATAAAAAGTGAGAGAACAATGTAAAATACTTCGTATAGGATACATAGACAAGAATGAAAAAGAATAGATTATTTATTGTTAGAAATATGTTGTATTTAAGTAGTTATTATAATTTATTACACTATTGTTTGATTTCTTTTGGGTTAGATGTATATAGATATGAAGAAAAAAATATTAAATTTATGCATTTCCGTTGTGTACATAAAGAAATTAATTCTACATTACTACTCACAGGGAGCGAAATATTCATATTCGAAACAATGATACTATAGACAGAATGAATGCATACAGTAGAGTAGATTTCCTTGAGGGTGTGGGTATAGAGACTAAATACAATCTACATTCATATTCACTCACATCCTCGAAACAATCTGAATTTATTTTATATTAAACGGTTTTTGTATGTCAGAATACATGTTTATTTCAAATAATATTATTTATATGTTTTTCGTGATTTAATATCGATTATTTTATTAATTCAATTAATTATAACTAATTTAGCGTGTTAATTAAAACTTGTGAATAAGAATAGTCAAAATAGTAAACATCTATTTACGAACTCAATCAATGAATTTGTCATTTATTATCTAAATGCTTTTTATATTATTGGTAGTTATTTTTATTCTTATTATTTTCATTATTTTATACTATATTGATGATTTTGATAGATATAACTGTAATTCTACTAGAGCGATTTATTTTAATCATAATCGAGAAAATGCCCATGAAATTGTATTCGCTTTTATTGGTATGTTCATTGGAATTATTTTAAGTATTATAATTTTTAAGAAACTAATGAAACATCACATTTACAAATTATGATTACAATAAGAAGTAGAAAAATATAATTCACATATATTTAAAATCATGTATTTCTATCTCTATGTTATTAATAATAACAATCAAACAATATCTATTGATTTTTGAAAATTTCTAATATAATAATCCATATTTATTCATGTTACTCTAACAATGAAATTTTGTAAATATACAAAATATTTAATTAGCCGCTTTTTTTGCTTCCTTTCGTTTTCGAACGTTGTTGTTTTTATACTTGATAAACACAAACCAAAGTGTCCTTCGCTATTCAGTTCATTTATTGTTACTGTACACAGATGAATGCTTCTCATTAAAGTAGAGAAGTCATGAAAAAATATGTTTTGTATTTTATAATTAATAGCATCATTTTTCCTTAGGTATTAACCTCAATCTATTTTTTACATGTTATCGAGCAAGTATTTTACTATAAATTCTGTCAGAAAAAAATACGATATTATATTGAGTACATGCTGGACAAGTATTTCAGTAGGAATAATCTTGTATAAATTGAATAAAAACAACATTTTTTTCGACTCAAATTATCAGTTAATTCTATAAAAAAAATGTCAAATAATAATGTAACAGTTATTTAAATGATAGTTTGTTTCCTTACACAATTGTTTCAATACGAAATATTTGCAACAATAATAACATGTAAATAAACATGATGAATTGATTTCATTTTTCATGATAAATTTTGAACAAAATGATGTTAGATATGAATTGACATGTGGTGTAGTTATAGAATATTGTAGAAATATCATAATCTTTTAGGAAGGATGCGGAAGCAAAATGTTTCCTTCAACATATAATGTGATTTCTGTTAACAAAATATTGAAAATCAGCATTTTTTGAAGGAAATGCAACGTTTCCTAAAAGAAAAAAGAACCAACATGTTATGTGCATATATCATGAATCGAATAACACTGAAGTATACGGGGGTGGTGGCGATATTTTGGGGCTAAAAATTCAAGCCTTCTATTTGCGTTTATCAGTAGCAGAAAGAGAGCCGCTTTGTTTAGAATACGGTAAGATTTTCAACTTTTACTTATGTAAAGGAGTTTTTTGTCCACTATTTAGTGTAACAGCTCACACTCAAGTACCTGAGATAGTTTCAAACTTTCGATGTATTAAAATGAGAGAGAGAGAGCGGTTAACACACTCTTTTGAGATCAGAGTGATCTAATCATCATCTGTTTTCTTTTCACAGAAGTTACAAATTTAAATAAGGTGCTTATGCAATAGATTCATTCAATGTTTAGCTTATATAGGATTCGACTGTTGAATCCAAAAAAGTTATATACTATATGTCATAATTTTGGCTGTGATATTCGCTCGTCACACACGAGTTACTCATCAGTAATATGATACAACTTAGCGGTAAGCAGTCACAGACCTGGCCACAATATCGTAAATGTTTTAATAAGTATGCATTCTTATTCATATTTCGCATCCAGAATACAGAACAATATGAAGTGATATATGTATTTTTCTCTCATGAGAAAAAAATATTCAAAAAAGCTCTCTGGTTAATTTTTGAACAGAAGTTGCATTTCCATTTTTTCTATTGACGTAAAAACGGAATGAAACAATTTTTCTTCTTTCTTTTTCTCATTATTTTTTTTGAGAGATTAATTAATCCATCAAATCTAAAACATATTCTTGATAGAAAAATGTTAACGATTATTCACCGAAAATATGAAGGTCAAGTCGAAATCAATAAGTACTTTAGAAGATTTTAAAAAATTACGGAGGTGGTATAAGATTTACTTCGCACGCACCCTGTACACTTCACAGTCACGTAAATATTAACTGTAGATAAAAAATGATGACATTTTTGCTGTGTTATATACTCATCTGATTGTTTTAGTATGCTTGTTGAATAACTTCATCGTTTTGAAAAGTCAATAAATCATCAAATAGTTATCACTTTGCTGATCAACAGTGAGAAGATGCCGTTTTTTCAAAAGTTAAAGGAGCTGAATCTATTTGAGACAAACGCTACCGATGCCAATAGTCTTCGAATTCAACGTTTGTTTACTCGCTTTTATCTTCCGATATTTACAATCATTTTACTTATTCTGAGTATCTATGCTGCATTACATAAAATTACATTACTTGTTGAAATACACAATCCAACTATTGATTTATATCACGAATTGGAAGCTAAATATTCAATGGAATGTTCTTGTTCAGAAACATCAATCCGCTATGGAGAATTCATGAATCAGATACCGTCTTATCATCAAATTTGTTCAAGTGATTTTGTTACACAACGATGGATCGATGCGCTGTTCGACTCAACAAAAACTCCTTTTTATTTTCCTGTTGATTTTCGTTCAACTGCCAGTCAACAATTTCAATTACTTGCTGCTCTTTGCCGATCAACTGCTCGAGGAATTAATGATAGTCTTCAGTCATTTTTTCGCAGTGAACTTATCACTGAGAAATTAATGACTAAAGCTTTTTTCCAAGCTAGAATTCAAGCTGATATTGATACTTTCAAAAATAATACACTTGATGCATTCGGTTATAAACTAACGTTTATCCATGAGATCATTCAAGGCAACTTTCTCGTACCGTCAAGTGGAACTACTTTGATTTTCTACTTTCACTATATTCCTTTGGAGCTTAACCCTCTTTGGATGGTTACGGCGGGTCCCAGCGCATTTTTTTCCCCGGATGACGGAGATCTGTGCACTTGTGAAAAATTATCCACATGTTACACACGTGCAGGATTTTTTGGTAACAATCTTTTTAATATTAACTCTACTGATTTTGACCGTTTGTATATTATTGATGAATGGTATACTGGATGTAGACCGATTGATTCACTTCTTCTCTCAACATTAAAAGCATTTTATAATCAAACAGAGATTAATTCATTACTAAACTTTTTTCCCGATATATCATCAAATTTTACATGTTTAAATGCAAATAAAACAAGTAGATTCCAAATGAACGATACTTTGAAAACTATTGTTAAAAGCGGTTTCATTGAAAAATGGATTCAAGAAGAGAATTATTCATCATATTTTAATAAATGTGTACCAGAATTATGTTTGTATACAACTAACAAGCGTTTTAACATTTATTATATACTAACTGCGGTTATTGGTGTATATGGTGGACTTTCTCTTAGTTTGCGTCTTATTATTCCAATTATTATTAAATTTATTTTTCAACGCAATGAAGAAACATCTTCCCGAGGCCCTTCTATCAGACAACCGAAACAATTTATTTATTACTGGTTTCAACAACTTATTTCTGCTCTTGTTAAAATGAATCTTTTTCGATCAGCTATACATGTTGAACCATCCGATATTTATCAACAATGTTGGACAACTCGATTTTATATTATTTGTTTTTTACACTCTTTGATATTTGTGACCTTGTACACGGCAATAATTGAACAAACTACTTTTAAATATATATTGAATCCATCGCTCGATGAAGTATTAGATCTTCAGAAACGAACTAATTTATTATCTCTACAATGTTCATGTTCTCAAATTTCGTCATCATTTAAAAATTATATTGAATTGATTCCTACCATTCATGAAATATGCTCCAGTCATTTTGTACTATATGAGTGGTTTGGTTTATTTTTCAATCTAGAAGCTGCGTATCCAAATGATTTTTCGGGAAGTGGCTTTATGTTTCAATTACTTCGTTCATTTTGTAATCTAGCCAATACAACAATAATTGATGCTCGTAACCTATTCTATGAAAATCAGTTAGTCACTGCAAATCTGATGAGTGAAATTCTTTTCAATTCTACAATGAATTCTGAGGGAGAAAACTTTGAACATGTCACATCTGATCGTTTCTTTTATCCCTTAGAAATGATACGTCAGACAATAATGGCCAATCAATTTATTTATGGAAACCGCATAAATTATCGTATATCTATGCAAAACGATACAGGTCACTTGTTTGTTGACATTGATCCTGTCATAGTTTGGAATGATGATAACGACGGTGTATGTTCCCTTCTCTTTGAACCAATTTGTAAACTACAAACGCTTTATACTGGTTTGGACATAGACAAAAATCCCGTACGAATACCTTTGCCTGGCTTCTACACATCCGCATACTCTGTTGGTTCATTACTATTATCACAACTTCAATGTTTGTATATTCAATCGTGTGTAAATATTATCATAGACATTCCTGGTCATAATATTACAGCATTGTCTCAAACAAGTAACTTTTCAAATAATGTAACATTTCAATTACTTTTAGATCGTTTGTTCGTTGAGTTTTGGTCACGAAAATTAAATTATACGGCCTATTTCAGGCAATGTCAACCTCGATCATGTTCGTATACAACTAGGGAAAAACCTACTTTTGTTTCACTGATTACATCTGTCATTGGTCTATCTGCTACTTTATCTGCTGTTCTACAATTTGTATCACCATTAATTATATCGCTCATTTTTAAATATTGCCGAAGAACACAACAAAGAAGATCATCCGAAGTTACACGACAAGAAGGTAAACATTTTTCTTAAAATATCAACATGTAATATAGAGGTTCAGACTGTTTACTCCATGTAGAGTAACATTACTTCGTTCAATAGAGAAATGCTTCTTTTAAAAACCACCATTCCTTATATAATTCAGTACATATGGTTAATCTATTACTTTCTTCACACGCTGATGAATTAAAGCTCCTCTAGTTTTTCTATTTGTTGTGTAAAAAATTTAAAATCATTGTGATGTTAGCTGTTGGAGGTGATCCACTAGTGGCATATTCTAACTCATTGGATAACATCTTTGAATTACCATAAGTTGTTTTCTGTTGAAAGCCTTCGAAAAATCTTACGAAAGTACATTCGAAAAGTGATTGATAGTCGGTAGAACGATTTTCAATAACGAAAAAAACTTCGATTCTCTATGCAAAAAAGTGTACTGTACAAGAATGAATACAGATCATCCGAATCGAAGACTATGATTGAACAGCCTCCTATAATAGTAGATCGTTACTTATATTCATTGACTCATCTATCAGAGCTTTGAACATGAGTATTATTTTACTATAAGACTTCATAAAAGTCTGCCAAAAATCTCGTTTATGGTTTCAAATATATATATATACAGTATTCTTGATTACAGGTCGTCGTAGTATTCAAACATATATTATTGTCTTATGGAGAAAACTATGCAAAGTCGTAAGCACATTGAATATGTTCGAAAATCCTGATAAACCAAATCCATCAGAAGAAGAATTACAGACTCAACGGTCGTGGACACGTGTCTACATTATCACATTAATCATAATATTCACTACTGTTTTGTTAGTTACCATGCTTGCCTATCAATCAAATACAATCACTAAGGAAAATCCAACATTAGATGTCTACAGAGGCTTACCAAAATCAGCCCAGTGTCCTTGTTCGAATTCGTCTATTCCTTACCATACTTTTGTTAATTTCAAACCATTATTTCACGATGTGTGCGAGAGTGATTTTATTAAGTCACACGGGAAGTGGATGTCGATACTCGATGATTTGCGTAAAAACCAAACTTTACATAAAAGAAGCCGTCGTACATTTCAAGGTATGGCTCTGTTTCACTTTTATTCACTGCAAATAATGTGTGACATAGTTAAGAAAACGATCGACCATGAACTTGCTCTTTTTCTGAACTCGACTTTTATCTCTGTTGAAATGATTTCATCTGAGTTATTTAACAAGAGAATCAATGGTACTCTTTCTAATCTTCAAAATATAATACCCATAAATTTCAATCATTTATTACAATTGATTCAGGATATGTATTCTCGAAATGGTTTAGTTTCATCATTGACTACCAACTGGTATCCTATAATTTTCAATGAGACGTCGAGTGGAAGTATCTATATGCAAGCTCACAAATACAATCTATCATCATGTAATTGTGCGACATCATCAACTTGTATGGAGCCAATGACTTTAGAATTACATTCAGGACCTAAATGGGTAGTGCCTGGAATGATGATCGGTTGTTTACCGTTTGAAACAATGCTTCAGTCAACAGCGGAATGCATATATGATCAAAATTGTCTCAATAATATATCTCAAAAATTAGCCACAGAGTCGTTCCTACCACTGTCCGCCTCTCGAACTCGCTTTAAACCGATCAACACACAAAAATTTCAATCGATTGCTGATGAACTATTTATCGAAGATTGGCGTGTTTACGTTTCTTATGAAAACTATTTTAATAGTTGTCAACCCTCAATCTGTTCATACACGTTATGGAAACGTTTCAATATTTCCAATTCATTTAGTATACTTTTGACTATTTATAGTGGTCTCTGCATTTTACTTGAAATTTTTATTCCATTAGGATTTAAATTTGTACGAAAATATCTTTGCCGACGAAATGGACGGACGAGACCGATGGCCAATTCATAATCTATACTTTTATTCCTACAGAATCAATGAAGACGTTGTCTTCGAATTGAAAAAAACGATACATTCATTTTAATATATTAAATCTATATACAATAAATATGCTTTTATTTTTTCATTAAAAACAGTTTCACATTCACACAGTTACAAGTTTAATATATGATGGTGCTAATTTTGAAATCGACATACCAGAACTATTTAAATTTTTCATAATTTTTATAAATCAGAAATATTGACACAATTCTGGATTGCCACAATCACTATTCAGTAACATTTTGCATCTAATCAATTCAAAAATAATCGAATACATATAAATGTGTAGAGATAACTCGTATATGAGAAGCTTTTCATGAACAATGCAAAATCAAACATAATAGCGAAAGCAACAATATTTTGCTTTCTTTCTATAATCACTGCTAAATATTTTGTTTTCGTCGGGTATTTGTCCATGTGTCAGCAAATGACTCGCATGCTTTTTTTGTCAAACAGTGATGCAAAAAGGAAAAAAACAACTCAAATAACGTACTGAACTTCCGCCAATTCACTATCGTATCGAAAGCAGCACTTTTTCTTACTCTACCCACATTCAATTCGTAATTCAAATTTGTGTTGAATACTCCGTTAAATCGCTTGTTCTACATTCTGTGAATATGAGAATTTATCTGCAATCCATAGGCTGTATAGCTCTGGTCTTCGAAGTGAACGCCTCGGATACAATCGGAAAGTTCAGAGAACAAGTCGCAGAGAGCATAGGCATCAAACCAGATGGCCTACGACTTATATATAAAGCCCAACCACTAAGTGACTTATCCGCATTTAATGATTGTCAAATCACAGATGAAAGTACACTTAAGTCAACAAACAAGCTGCAAGGAGTCGTTGCTCAGTAATCAACATCCACCTGGAAAGTTGAAAGCTGGAATGAACTTACTTGGACAATAACACTTTCACTTATTTCACAATTAAAAAAATTTGATTCCAAAATACCATTGATTTTTTTTTGTACACATTTGAATAAAATATCTCAATAGTGTTTCAAAGACAAAACAAAACCTCGTTTTTCGATACGGTATGAGTGTGAGCGATATGATCCTCATATCGAAGCTCACGTCCATATTATCAAGATTAAAGATGTGTATATAAAATATGGTCACTATTTTATTTTTTAGCAGAAAATGAATTTGAATCGAGAAAGTTAAGCGGTAGTGTGAATGTAAATGTATCTCAGGTGAAAGGGAAACTTCATGAAAGAATAAGTTCACATTACAGTTCTACAGAAAGGAGAAAAAAAGCAGCTACTCGAATTAATATCAGTTTGTAAATAAAATGAGATGTCTAGAAAAAATTATTGACGATCATACCTTCCCGAATCGTTGCTGATTTCCTTCAATAAGTTTATATCAATGTACTCTCATATAGTTTGGCAAGGGAAGTTTCTTCTAGTAACTTTCATACATACAACTAGACATCATAACATCAAGAAAACTTTACCTGGCATGAGTCTTGTGCTACTCTGTAAATTACTTTGCATACTAGACGGTCTGAATTTTGAAGAGTAACTTTGTTCGTCGAATTGTTTGGATAAGTATTGCATCCGAAGTTCATTGATTTGAGTTTGTTGTTGTTGTTGCATTTTTTTCTTCAGTTGCTGATTCTCAGCGATTATTAGACACAGCAACTGCATTATCAGATGGACTCGTATTAGTTACTGGTGGATGGTCTGGTAGTATTGTTTCTAATAGTGCCGAATTATATTACTTATTTCAAACAAATTACCTTTCAATTATCTTATTCTTTTTCTTGCAAATATTTCAAATTCCAAATAATACTTTAATTAGAACAACTGTCATTATCTGATGTCACCGAGTCGTTACTTACGATACTTTTACAGAACTATCACACATTTAAATATTCGTTTTTTCTACTCTTGCAGATTAGTTTATTATGATTAACAAAAGCTACAATTCATACGATATTTTAATTGTTCTTTCAAGTATTCTGTTAGTTTTACAGTATAGTTTTGATGATAATCATCAGATTTAGAATGTATGATCATTAGAATATCTTGCTTATAAAAAAGATTGACGTAAGTCATGAATGAATATATCTATAAATAACAACAACAACAGATAATCTAAAAGATAATCTATAATCATATTAGAGTACGACGTGCTGACGATATGAATGCAAATGAACTAAATGAAATACTAACAGTTAAGTTACCTTATTTTTAGATGAATATGTATTCTAAAGAAAGAGAATAGGAGATAAGATAATTTCTATATAATATTCTTTTGTGAACAGTAATTATCTCATTAGTAGTTTTAAATTTATTGATACAAATCATTCCAGAAAAATCAGATTGATTGGTGTAGAATATCTATATAGATGGTGTGGATGTGGTAGACTGTCGAATCTGAATGCATATACGAAATGGATATAAAATACTCACATCCACACCCACATCCTCAAAAAATCACTTTTGTGCAAATTTTTTTTGCGAATCTTTGTGTGTGCGCACATGTAAGTTATATGTATGCGTGTATTTTTTTTAACTTCATGCTTGATTAGGATTACTTTTTATCTATCCTTGTGTCACTCACCTTTTATTACTTTCTTTGTTTGTCTTAACTATTTCCACATGATTCATCGTGCGTCACTTCCCTAGTGATTGCACACTAGTTAGCAACAGGTTAAAACCAGTTTTATATCTTGCCATGTATGGATATATTCCTAAATATATTCATTAGGACTTTACCATATACATCACATATATGTATATTCCTTTCGTTCTTGGATTTTTCTTATACATACTTATATATATATACTTGCATTTCTCTATATATGTATGTATCTACATCTTCTTATACTGCAATTTATTTATTTCGTTCCTGGTTTGCGTTAAAGGTAAGGATGAAAGCACAATATTATTCGTCTGCGAATAATATTCTTGTTTGATAGTCTTTATAATTTGGTACACTTTTCCTAATTTATTTTATATGCGTAGGTGATCACCAAGTCAAATGGCGAACAACACGACTGCTATTGTTGAAATGAGCAAAGATGATAATACATATGTCCGTCCACAATTGGAGCTGATCGACTCAACACTACCATATTTTCGTAAAGCCATTGATGTACTCGACATTTCTTCTTCATCTACTCCTTTTTTCATTGTTAATTTTGGTTCGGTTCATGAATCCAATTCAATATATGTCATGAAGATGATCATTCAATATCTGAAAGAAGCTAAAAAGATAGATAATGAAGAACAAATCATTGCTGTTCACAATGGTTTACCAACAAATGACTGGACATCCTTATTTGAACTTACCAGTGAAGAAAATTCATATTCCAATGCGGCTTATGGTCAATATTTTGATGAACAATGCTTGCCACCAAATACTATTGCAATTGGATTTTCAATTGCTTCACTTCACTGGCTATCACGTAAACCGTGTAACGTGTCGCATCATTGTGTTGCTAATTTTGTACAAGATAAAGAAGAACGTGAGATATTCAAACATCAATCGAAACTTGATTTGACTTCATTTCTCAAACATCGTTCTACTGAACTTGTACCTGGTGGTGTTCTCATTCTGAATATTCCATGTGTCAACGATGGAAATTCTTTGGGGTTTGATAACTGTGTTCATTTGCTATACAAATGTGCTAAATCTATTACGCACATTCAACAAGTATTGCTTGATCATATGATTCCTTCATATTATCGATCGTTCTCGGAATGTGTCGATGATGAGCTTTTTGCTAGATGTTCGTTCAAACTAATTAAAGATGAATTTAACAAAACAAACATTGCTCTAATGGATCAAGACCAAAATGGAAATGTATCAGTAGATAAATTTTCCAAAGCAGTCACATCGTTCATGCGAAGTTGGTTGGAATCATCACTTAAACAAGCACTAGAAATTAACAAACAAAGCACAGAAGAAATTAATAAAATACTGGATCAATTTTGGACATTGTACGAGCAAGAGATAAAAGCAAATCCACATGAATATATTGCTTGTGCTTATTTTACCCATTTAATCCTGAAAAAAGTTTAATGTACAACAAACGCTTATTATTTTTATTTAATCTAGAAAATTTTTTAATCTACGATAAACGCTTTTTTCAATACACAATAAACCTATCTGATTGAATTGAACATTCTTATACAGACTTTATTTTTCTTTTGACGATGAATTGAGGGTGTTGCTGTGAGTATGGATACTGTATTCACCTAACACCCACACCCTCAAGATGGTTTTCCCTCTTTCTATAATCATTGCCAATTGTTTTTTTTCGTCGAGTATTTCCCCATGTGTCAGCAAATGACTCACGTACTTTTTTCCCAAAAAGTGATGTAAAAAGGAAAAAACCAAGCTTAAACAATATTAAAATGAGGTATGGTTTTATTTATGAGCTGTGATCCATTGACCAATTTTTGTTAAATGCCATTCATTGAAATAAACTGATGATGGATATACGTAGAGAAGAAATGTGATGATTTGAGGAATAAATGAGATGATATAAAATGTAATCATAGGATAACGCATTGGATTATTTTCTAAATTTTGACAACTAAGCGAAAATGAAAGAATAAAGAGTGGTAATGAGAAAAAGGAAAAAATCGAAGGAATGAGTGCGATTGTAGGTCGACTGATAATCTGTTTGTTGTCAGTTAAAACATGACGAAATAAATTAAAACGATCACGAACGTCTTCTGCTTTGTTATTTTCTAAACAGACAAAAAAAATTAACTTTTATTACTCTCTTATAGTTACTTGTCAATTTTTCGAGATGCACACTGCATTGTTGTTCTACCAAGTTCGATAAATTTTCTACCGATTCAGTAGCTAAAATATCAAATAAAAGTACTATAAGTATACATAACAATAGCTTACATTCGTTTTGTTTATGAACATTCATCTTACTATTGATAATATTATAAATCATGGTGATCGTACAACAAAGATTAATAAGAAGTGGTAAAATCGAATGTATTATCGATACGACCTGATGAATGATTATCCATGTAGATTGATGTACAGTTGAAAAATCAATTACACACATGCTACTATTGTGGTCGTTGTCGAAAACAAATAACTTGACGAAGACGAGTTCATATGCGCCAGAAAATTGCCACAAATGATATAAACCAATAGGCAACACGAGTAAAACATGTCAATAAATAAGTTAATATTTTGCAGAGAATATTGTCAACAGTTGGATGAGAATGTAAACCGGTGACAGTAACACTAATATGAATAAGACGAGCAAGAAGAAGATTACAACTAATTTGATTGATAATACTCATATGAAATAAATAGTGTCCTACGTCATTGAGTAAACATTTTTGACGACGAAACGTAACAAAGGAAAAGATGTTGTTTACTAGAGCGATAAGGACGAGAAGCATAGAACTAATAATTAATGAGTAGACAACAATCATTTTCTTGTTTGAAATAAGATCACTATAAAAGAGTTGATCAAGGGTGAATACGAATGAATTTGAATTTAATTGACAATAAATTCCTGATCGACATTGTGGACATAAACAAATAAAAGTGTTGGATTGAAGAAATTGATCTTTTTCTTTTAAACAACGACTACCAGGTTGATATCGTGAACATTGATCCAATGTATGATCATAACGAAAACATTCGACTCGAGTATGATTTTCACCACAAATACATAGATAAAAATTGTCGCGAAAACAAAATAAATTTGAATCATTTCGACATAAAGAATGATATTTAATTGGAGAATAGTTTGAAAGAAATTTTGTGTCATATGTACGGAGTTCAACACCTTGAGTTTTTTCATTCATTTGAGTAATTGCATTAATTGATATCGCATTGATATGAAGAGAAATCAAATAGATTTGAACAGGATCATCAACAGGAGAAGAATAGACTTTAACTAATGTTATTTGTGGTGATGTTTTTCGATCATGTCGATATACTTTTTGATAAACAAGAATGAGATTAAGTGAAATAAGATCAATATCAAAATATTGAACAACAGCTGCTACATGATTAACACTTTCATTGATATACAATTTCATATGTGGTCTTCTGAGTTCACAATTTCTTCCATGATATTCTGGAGTACATGAACATGTGATAGTATCTGGTTCAATAGTCGAATAACATGAACCATTATTTTGACAAGGTGTTAATAAACATTGATCGTATTTAATATCACATCGGTCACCAAAAGAATCGAATTGACAGATACAAAAAGGTAAATTATTTCCACTTATTAACCCTCGATAATTTGGTTTATATATGTAAAATTGTACTAACGCTAACGGTATTTTTCCAAAGATGAGAAAAATAATGAATAATTCCATTATGATAACATTGTTTTGTACTGTTGTTTCTATTTAAAATTATCGGTTCTGTCGGACGACGACAATAAAACAAATTTTCATGGAGAATGCAATCATATAGTTCTATTGAAGGACTGTCTACGGTGTTATACACGTAGACCATCGCGTCAACGAATATTAAAATGCACAATGCAAGTATTATTTTTATAAGTACCATGGCTAATGCGTATAATCTTCTATTACGGACTTTTTCTCATCTACTCAACGAGGATGCACATAAAAACTATGATATAGAGATATCATAAATAAAAAGAACGTGATTTAGATAGAATCATTATTTAACGCTAATCGAGGATGTTAATATCACGTATCTTATGTTAGATCAGACATCTGACAGTAGACATTATTCATAAAGACATGTCTAGAAAGATCCTCTGTTGAGTTCCTATATTAACCTTAAGAGAAAAAAAATGCACTATAAGGAAAGGACGGGTTATCAAGGGTGTTTTTGTGGGTGTTTGTGTGGATAGATATGTTGGGTGTCGTGAATGAAAGGATGATGAAATCATATAACACCCACACCCACACTCTTTATTTTACACCACTCATTTTTATTAGAATCATTCATTCAAATAAAATCACACGTGTTAGTGCCATGCCACACGATGGCTTGGTCTCTTTTCTCGATATGTGTTTTTGCTTTCGGTACTCCTACCTTTTGATATTTGTCATGTCTTCCACGCTATTATTTTTTTGTCATGTTTTTCGGTACTCTTACCTTTTGATTTTCGTCATGCTTTCTGGACTGTTACCTTTTAACGTCACTGAATGTTTCGAGTGTTTTATATAAGGTACGAGAAATATTCAGTTGGCAAGGGATTTCTTTTGAAGAATAAAGTATACGTATATACTAAATCTTATACTCACTGAATTATTGTTCCGAACATGTTGATGATTAATCAGTTGGACTTTGAAACCAAAATCAAGTGTCATTACGCACATTACTGTACGTATAGACTCGCCATCTTCTATTGAAGTGGAATAATCGCGCAAAGACGTAAATGAGCACAATATTCAATATTCCAATTTGACAGTAATGAAGTCCTCGATTTGGAAACATAATACATTATATTTTACAGCATTAATATTAATATGAAAAATTATAATATTTAAGCGAAAGTAAATATTTTTTTATTTGTGCTTAAAAAACTACGGTCATACGATTTTAACAGTGCAAGATAATATCAGAAACGAAAAAAGTAATAAAGTAATAATGAGAAAAAAAAGAGAAGAGAGCCATGTTATAACTTTTTCAAGTATAGACAAATGAAGAACAAATCTTTTGGATGTTCTCATCTTGAGGGTTATCTTTCTTTCTAGATGACGTACGTAACGAAATAATCACAACTGAAATATGGTATATACGGCAATCATCGTTGATTTTGGTAATGTTTTGTTTACGTTATCCGCTCTTGACGAAAAGAATAAATCCATGGTTTCACAAATTTGCCACACACCATCATGGTTCAAGTACGAAAGAGGTCTGATCAATGAAGAACAAGTATACAAAGCGGTTGTTCCTGAAATGAACAACAAATACAGTTCAGAAACGATCAAAAAAGTGATCGAAACAGGTCGTTCTGCATTGGCGATACAAACAGCATTGATGGAATTTCTGCAGATACTTTCAAAATCCAAACGTTATCGTCTTTTTGCTATGTCCAACATTTCCGAACCCGATTATGCATTTGTTCAGTCTCGCTTCGGTTCTACTATTAACATGTTGTTTGAACGAATCTTTCCATCGTATGCTTCTCGTGATCGTAAGCCAAATTTATCTTTTTTTCAGCATGTACTCACTCAAATCGATGTGTTTCCCAGTCAAACATTATTAATCGATGATGAGATCGATAATATTATTGCGGCTCGATCATTAGGCATACAAGGTTTTCTTTTTAAAGAGAAATATATTGATAAAAACCTTCGCTGCTTGTTCAATATGTGTCAAGATGATCCATGCAACTCAGGGATAGCATATTTACAACGACATGCTGGTCAACATTTCTCAATTACAAGCGAAGGCAATGAAATAAAGGAGAATCTTTCACAATTATTAATACTTGAAGCAATGCGTGATGCAAGTTTGGTTAGCTATGTTGCACATACTCGACTTTTCAATTTTTTTCAGGTTTTTATTATTCTTTTGAAATTTTGGTCGATAAGAACATTTGTATTTTTCATAGGATGAATCAATGGCATTGAACTTTCCTTGTGACATTGATACGACATCGATTGGTTTGACAGTAGTGGACAATATATCCTCGTCAGTTATTCATAATGTCCTCGATCAAATATTATCCACCTGTTTGAGTGACGACGGAATCATACAAGTTTATTTTGATTCCCATCATCCACGAGTAGATCCTGTTGTTTGTGTTAATGCTCTCTCTCTATTCTATACTCATGGTCGTGGACATGAAGTTCATCGTACTGAACAATGGGTGTATGATGTATTGGTTCATCGAGCTTACAAACAAGGAACACGGTACTATAATACCGCCGAATGTTTTCTCTTCTTTTTAGCTCGTCTTCTCAAACGTGCACCTGTAGTACGAGAGAAAATGATATCAGTTCTATGGGCACGAATAGAAGAACGATTAGCAAACCATGAAACCGATCCACTCGTTATTGCCTTGCGACTTGTAGCTGCCGATGCCATTGGTATGACTGAAAAAACGACACCTCGCATAGCAATCGATCTTGAACAATTATGTATGCTTCAAGAAGCAGATGGATCATGGAATGGTGGACCGTTCTTGAAGTATGGATCACATAATATATCGATGAGCAATCGAGGATTAACCACTGCCTTAGCTGTCAATGCTATTCGTGCTTATCGACAATAGAAGTCAACATCCTTTAGTTAATAATTTTCATCATTTATAGCCTTGCATTTTTATTTTTCTACTTTTTTTATTAGCTGAAATAAAGTCACATTTTCTTTCTCTTTTCATCTCTTGTTTTGTCTGCCGTCAAGGTGTTCGATGCGTAGAACAGTTGGGATTGATCTCGGAACAGTAAATTCATGCGTCGGGTGTGGGTCTTTTATTTTATTACTCTTAACCACACTCACACACACGTACTGACAAACTTCTTGATTACTTAAATAGAGATTAAATGAAAAATTCATAACAATGAATTTCATTAACATCTTGAGGGTGTGGGTGTGAGTATTCTTTCATCACACCCACACCCATACCCATTCTTGCTTTTCATCAGTAGATTTGTTTGGTCGAAATCAAATAATTAACAGGATAATTAAAGATGTGGGTATGTATGTGAACGTTCGGCTTACCAAAGACTTACCTGTAACTGTACCCTCAGTTTAACTAAATTTTAATTATTTTTGTACAGATGTGTGAGCATTTCACATTGTAACATAGATGCAATCAATGAATAGAAAAGTTTGACAATAATCGCATCTGCTCGTGTTTATCATATGTCCAGCATATCATGTATTTAAAAAAATAATATTTTATTATTTGACACATTCATAGTTCACTTGAGTATATTGGTTAACATTAAAATATAGAATACAATATTCGATAAAAGATAAAAAAAGAAGGATAATATTGCATTTGCAACATGTTGCTGTTATACGTGATACTCATATGGCAAATACAAGCGGTGCCAAAATATCAGCTTAATATGTACAATACTGATAATTATCAAAACGGATATTGTCTAATCTATAACGTACCTGAATCTGTCAACCTCGATAATGATTATCTAACACTTGCCAGTACCCAACAGAAAATATCATTTTGTTTTAGGTTATCAGACGAAAAAAACTCTGTCATCGACTTTAATTATAATAACACAAACGATCCTAGTTTTACTTTTGCTGAATTACAAGAGCAAAATATCACTAGTGCAATGTTACTTTCATGGTCTGCTTCTATTGATTTGGCTGAACGATATCAAATCTTTTTGAATAACTGCTCAAAGTTAATATCTGAAGAAGAAACATTGTTTTATAATTGTACTTTATCATGGTTTGGACCTTTTTGTCGTTTCACATTTGATTATGAGCCAGATTTGGATTTCGAGCTCCTCGTTTATTATCTTTTTAATAAGGGGCTGTCCCGCGGTAATGTTCCAGTGGTGACATGTTACGAACATTTGCATTGTCAAACGAAACTGTCATGTTTAGATTGGCGAGAGATTTGTGATGGAAAATACGACTGTCTGGACGGTTCTGATGAGAACAATTGTTGGCAACTTGAAGTTAATGAATGTATGGATGATAACTATCGATGTCACAATGGTCAGTGTATTCCAGTTGAATTCTTGCGAGATGGTTTATTGAATCCCGATTGCTTAGACCGAACAGACGAAGGTCGAGAAACATATTCTTTTATAGAATGCGTTTTTAGTGTTGCCTTTCATTGTGAAGAGCACAAATGTCGATTAGGACAAGATGATGATTTTCCATGTGGAAATGGACAATGTAGAGATGAACTATATGGATGTTCTAATGGTCGTACCGGTCGTTTATCGAATGATTTTTGCTCTAATGCTACGGCTTGTTTTATGAAAATTTACGATGTAGTTGAAGCTAAATGGTGTGAAAAATTTTGTACAGCAATTACCTGTATAAAAGATAACTGCCCAATACTATACGAAGTTCATTTTATTCCTCTTCTTTTCGGACACGTACGTTTTTTGTATTCAAACAAAAATGTTATACCTGGTAGATTTTCTTTACCAGATTACGTGTGTTATAACAAGACGCTGTGTATAGATTTTCTTCCTCCTACAGTACTTTTCAATAATTTGACTTGTCGCCATTTTAACGACTCAGGCTTGACGGATACAAACTTATACAAAGATGTATATACACTCGTTGCGCATGTCAAAGATCAATTTCGTAAATGTTTAATTGCTACTAATTACATATACTATTGTAATTATTCAACTATGTATCAGTGTGAAAACTCATCAAAATGTATTTCAAAACAACGTATTCTTGATGGTATTCGGGATTGCCCATTTGATGACGACGAAAAATTTTCTCATAGCTGTTCACTTACTGATATTCATCAGCGTTTTAATTGTTCGTCTGATGGTGATGAAAAATGTTTTGCATCATTAGTCATTTATGATCGAAAGAAAGATTGCAAATATGGTGAGGATGAGACCTCTGTATTGCCAGAAATAAGACAAAAACATATTTCGTTTCAAACAATATGTGATGGAAGAACAGACTTGTTGCCTGTATTGATTGATGGTCGTAATGAAACGGATGAGACACAATGCCATTACTGGTCATGTAATAATACTTACAGCAGATGTGACAAATTTTGGTTATGTCAAGATGGAGCTGATGAAATCAATTGTCCATCTTCGCCTTGTCCAGCACTTCATCATGAATGTGTTTTCCTAAATGATACATTTCGAGTGTCATGTTTGCCAATTAACAGAGCAAATAATAGTATTACTGACTGTTTGGGTGCAACAGATGAACGAAAACAATATCAAATATTTGGTCAAAGTATGATAAGATACTATTTTTCTTGTTGGAATAGTACAAAATATATTGACGTGAATTTACTTTGTGATAAAATAACAGACTGTCCATTTAATGATGACGAAATATTTTGTGAGAACTTCGGACCATTTTTGCGTCGACTTTGTTATACGTATCCAAATGCCAAATATGCTGTTCAAAGATTTCTCTGTGATTTTGGTAACATCCACTTAAATAAAGAAACTTCTACTTTTTTCAAACTATATAATTTTCCAAATTATCCATTTCAAATAACGACAAAACCTGTCTCGCCGGTACCACCAATTTCGATAACAGCTAGGTCAATGCAAAACAATGCAATTATCAACGTTGGATCTTTCAACAAATGGTTTTGTAATCGAGGAGTACCTATTCGTACTCGAGTAAATAGCACTACATCTGTGTTATCTTGTCTTTGTCCATCGAGTTATTATGGAGATATGTGTCAATATCAAAATCAACGTGTTAGTCTCACAATTCAAATTCGTGTGACATCACACTGGCGTAGTTTCTACACTTTCCTTATTACTTTAATCGACAATGAGCGGAATATTCAGTCATATGATCAAGTTGAATATTTACCTATTCGAGACTGCAGAAACAAATTCAACTTGTATTTACTTTATGCAACTCGACCGAAAAATTCTTCAATGAATTATTCTGTACAAATCGATGCCTACAACCAATCGTCAATGGACTATCGAGCCAGCTGGATTTTTCCACTACAATTTCCATTTCTTCCAGTTCATCGTCTATCTGTTTTACTACGAGTTCCCACTTCAAATATGGAGCCCATACGTAAATGCTGGCCATCATGCATCCATGGTAAATGTTTCCAATACGCCAATGATAAAAAGTCGTCATTTTGTCATTGTGATTCTGGATGGTCAGGTTCACGGTGCCACAAAAAACACACATGTCTCTGTGCATCAGACTCACTTTGTGTCAACAATTCAATATGTTTGTGTCCTTATGGTCGATTTGGTTCTCGATGTCATCTCTTTCAGCTTTCATGTCGTTCGGAATTATGCATGAATGGTGGACAATGTGTATCTATCTCTGTACGTACTATATATAAAAATACAATCAAGCTAATGTGTGTTTGTCCAGAAGAATATGTAGGAGACCGTTGTCAATATCGACTCAAACGAACTGAAATTGATATATCTTTTCATCACAAACTGCCTATTCCATCATCATTATTAATCCATTTTATTGCAGTTCACAACAACAAAAAGCCCAACAGAACAAGTATTATGAAAAAAATTGCATTTGATCAATATTTATTAACTGTCTACACGTCCGTCTGGTTTAACATTGCTTTTGCACAAATGCTTGATAATTACTATCTGCTTATTCTTCAGGAACAAATGATCGCTTTCGCACAGATATCCACTCAACTTATTCCTTCTCATCGATGTCAATCTCTTCGTGAATTGTTCAATGACTCATTTGCTAATCAACATTTATTGAAACGCATAAAATATTACCATATTCCATGTCGAGAACAGCATAACTTAGTTTGTTTCTATGATGATGTTCATTTCTGTTTATGTACACTAGATCGGCATACCGATTGTTTTGAATTTGATCACAACATGACTTATGATTGTAGAGAATATAACTATTGTGAAAACGAAGGCCATTGCTTTCAAGATAATCCGAAATGTCCAACATCTTTGACTTGTGGTTGTCGTCAGTGTTATTTTGGATCCAGATGCCAGTTTTCTACTAAAGGATCAATCCTTTCATTGGATACTATTTTAGGCTATCATCTTAAATCATCTATACACATTCCTCAACAACCGGTGATTGTAAAAGTGTCAATAGGAATAATCACATTAATGTTCGCTTTTGGTTTTATGAACAGTTTTCTCTCGTTTCAGACATTTCGAGAAAGAAAAGCACGTGATGTGGGTTGCGGTATTTATCTTTTTGCATCGACAATTCTATCTATGATTATTATCGTAATACTTACCTTGAAATTTTCCTTCTTTTTAGCATCTCAAATCGGTTCACTCAGTAATCGTTTGCTTTTACTCACGCAATGTGTATCACTTGACTTTCTTCTTCGATTTCTTGTAAGCACTGTAGATTGGCTGAGTACTTGTGTCTCTATCGAACGAACAGTCAGTGTTTTAAAGGGAATGAACTTTAACAAATCAAAGAGTAAGCAAGTGGCTAAATGGGTGATTTTAGTTGTCGTTCTATTCACTTCTTGTACCTATATTTATGATCCGATTTATCGTCGTGTAATTGACGACGAAGAAGAACAACGCACATGGTGTGTAAGTCAATACCCATCGTCTGTACAAATATTTGATGGGCTTTTGAACATATTTCATTTCACTGTTCCGTTCTCAATTAATTGTATATCGGCTTTAATTATTATTATCACTGTAACTCGCACTCGCTCGAATTGTCACAAAACGAAGTCGTACAAAGAACACTTACGCGAGCAATTTCAATGTCATAAACATTTATTGATTTCACCATCAATTCTTGTTATGTTAGCTATTCCTCGTCTGATTATTTCATTTTTATCAGGATGTATGAAATCGGCTCGAGATGCTTGGTTCTATCTGATTGGTTATTTTATCTCCTTCATTCCATCGATGATGTCGTTTGTGATATTTGTTCTACCTTCCAGTATGTACAAGAAAATATTTGATCAATCCATGGAACGTCTTTGGCGACGATAGACTAAAATTCTTCAATGAATATGGTGCACCCTTTGTTATTGTATAAGAAAACGATTTTGACGGCATTTGACAGTGTGTGTATGATGGCAGGTAGGTGTAGGTTACGAATACTCTTATTTGAAACTACACATATAACAGGGGCGGCGAAGCATCATTAACCTAAGTGAGGCTTACAATATTTTTTTCTACTGTGAACTTTTATTAAACCATGGAGCAAAATATATGTTTTCTTTTTATTAGACCTCAATAAAAACTACAACGGTCATCATGAAAATAAAACAAACCAGAGAATACCAAAAAAAACACTTTCTCTGTTCGTTCTTCGATGCGAAAGTTGAACAGAGACGTATCTTTGTATATGTGTGTCAAAAAGGAAAATGGATGAATGTTTGGACATTTTCAGCCATTAAATACACTGTAAAGAGGATATAAATCAATCCGATCATTACTGTGCTGCTTCTTCATTGCCATAATAATGTATAGATATATATATGCGTGTATGTGTATATGCGCTTGGGAAAAAACCAAACGTTCTGGGAATAAAATATATATAGACGAAATGAGGAAAAACTAAAAATATGGAAAAGAAAACATGTAAGAAAAGATGGAAAATATCTGAGTACCATATAGACAAGGGAAATATTCAAGTAAAAGCACAGAAAAACATACGTGATATATATAAGCTGTACGTGATATCCATGCGATAAAAGAATAGAAAAAAGAAAAACAAAAAATAGGCGAACCTCATTAAAAGATAGATATGTCAGAACATATATCTAATTATGTTAGATGCCGAATATAACAAATTCTAATAATAAAAGATAATATTCAATCGGAAAATAAGTGAGGCTGAGCCTCAAGAGCTGAAAACTAAGTGAGGGTTAAACCTCTCGAGCCTCCACGCTCCGCCGCCACTTACATATAACTAACATCCTCACAATGAGAAAGATCAATATTGGTGCAAGCGCTGACTTGAAAACTCAAATTAATAAACGATATGAACTGAAAAAATCTTTATTATTCAGTTGCACCTATAATGGATCGTTAACTTATTTTGTCTGCAAGTAAAACAGACCACATCTAGAGATTAACAGAAAAGTAAAATGAAGAATGATTTAATATCTGAATGAGAACATAAAACATTTCATCGTGTATCTTAAAAAGAAAATTTGGAATATGATATACAAAAACTAGGGTGTGGGTGTGGGTATATATTGAATGAAATACCCACACCCACACCCACCCGCACACCCACACCCCCAAGCGGGAACCGGTGGGAACTGACTGGAAAAAGGTCTGTTTTCTGACAGTTCTCTCCGGATATGCAAGCCGCAAAGTTCTACCTGGGTAACGGATAATTTTATTTTTAAACCATTTGTAAAATATATATCCGATAGGTGTTGCCAAGACAATTAAGGTTAAAATTCTTAGAAGAAATGCAATGTTTAAACTCGTCTACCCTGTTTGAGTTGAACACTAAGTGTCCAAATTAAATCATATGATTTATTTACATTAAAATAACATATGTAAACTTGACCAATCTATAAAAACAAAAAACATGTTTCCTTAGTGTTTCCTAATAATTTTGACTAAATTTATACTGATTGATAGTTGCTTCAGTTGAATCTGTATATGTTTTGTACCCATGTCGAACGATATGGTTCGTATACTGACCGTAATATCGGGTACAGTATTACGGTCCGTTTAGAATCCGTACATAGCCGTATAATATCCGTTTTGGAGGAGAATACAGCATGTTTACGATGCCGTAAAACTGTGCCCATGATTACAGAGTGATAACGGTTTATTTTCGGCCGTAAAGCTACCGTTTTGTCACGGTTTACATTCCGAAAACGCATTGCAAACGGCTCCGTTTAGAGCGACCTGGGTAAGTGTTGATAAATATTTCTGAGTCTTGTGTTGGGCCTTTGCAGATTGAATAAGCCTTTTATAGTCAAAGTAGGGTGTGGGTGTGGGTGTGGGTGTGTGTGTGTGTGTCTGTGGGTGTTAGTTAAACTTAAAGACATTTACACAACACCCACACCCACACCCACACCTACATCCACACACCCACACCCACACCTACATCCACACACCCACACCCACACACCCACACCCACTAGTTTTATCATAATTCAGAAAATCACACTTGAATCAAAAGTTTTTTGTTAGTATGTAGTAAAGATATGACAAACGAAAGCCTGATAAAACATAAAAGAAAAAAGAAAGAGTTAGTGTTTAATTATAAATATCAAATGTTTTTCAAAAGAAAAGATTTTTTGTCGTGATGTATTAATTGTGAATATAGATTGAATAGATAAGAGCAGTCGGTACGAATAATATAAATTGCCCAAATTTAGATGAGAACCATGTTGTTACAGCACTTGACTTCGTTGTTGTTGCTGCTATTTCTGTTGTTGTCGTTGTCGTTGATGTTGTGGTTGTTGTTGTCAAAGCTAGAAATATAAAATAAAGCGAAAAGTGACGCATTTTTCATATAGGCAGATGCTGTTACTAGTTGTCGTTGTTGTTGTTGTTGTATTATATGCATTAGCTGCAACAGTTGTTGTCGTTGCTAAAGTCGAGACGTTAAACATCAATGGTGAACTACTAACTGGTGGTGTGGGTGGGAGTGCTGTAGTCATATCGTAACTGAATCGATAGGAAAAGCCACGCCCATACCCATCGTCATACGTGATGAAAACAAAAATAACAGTCAAGATTCATGATAGATCTGGATTGACTCAGAGAAACACGAATTGTTTGGATATAAGAAAGAAAATTGACCAACGCAAGTCATCTCTTATATACCCTGAACATCGAAACGCATGTCGAAGCTGAGTCTAGCTTTCTGAAGAGACGACTCTCTATGATATCACTCTCAATGAAACAATTAAGCTGTAAATGGATAATGAGAATAGAACCTATAAATATTTTGCTGTACTCGAACCCTCAATAATTTATATCGCGAATGAGTATCGAATAACTTATTTACTTCAACAATGGATAATATCTCAACGTTTTAGTTAGAAAAAATTGTTTATGTAAAGTCTAATTCTCCTACTATTGTAATTTATTCAAAAATTGAAGTACGTAAAGAAATCTTTTAAATTCATAAAAAGTAAGAATATGTTTGTATTTTTTATCTATGATACATTATATTTAAGTTTTTGCAGCATTTTTTCATTATAAGAACGTTGAGTGATAGGACATGTTGTGATAAATAGCGAAGTTTTTTCATTTCATGGTACTAGTAAAGATTACTGTTGATTCGTATATTATTCATATCAGACTAGCGATCGATTGAAACGGGTCTGTACTCAAGGAGATTGATCGGATTTTATTCATAATATTCATTCATTTAATGGATTTAATGTAACTGCTTGTGTAGAGCTTTTTTCTTATAATACAAATATCATCTCACAAAACAAGTTTTTATTTGTGGATATGCCAAACTCAACTAAATACTCATGCTGACAATGACAGGTATTCATTTAATAGTTGTAGTGCAAACACTTACTAATATTCTCCAGATCAACATGATTTGGACCGGATACAAAGATCGAGAATGCACCTGTCACCTTGGAGTCATAGATTGTCACAACCAATATATATGTAATACTGGTCTCAAGAACAATTGTGAATCTAAACTGAGCTGCACCGCAACTGTCATCATTGTATACGAGGCGATTTTCATTTGGATGGGATGGATTGAAGTAATCATTGTAAATAAAGCCGATAGTGTCCATATTGCTTTTGCTGACGAAAGTGTAAAGACCACTTCTACGAACATTCACTTGTATTGCTTCATAGTAAGAACTTGAACTTAAAGAACTAAGGAAATATGTTGAACTATTTGTTGTGAATTCTGACGCATAAACTGTTTGAACAACTGTTGAAGTATTCACTAACGAAAAAGAAAATTGATTCAATTTTGTAAAATATGGAAATAACTATAAACAATTTGAGATATTATTTTCCGTCTCAAATACATTTACAGAAAGCGACTAAAACTGATGTAAAACTTAATCTCTATCGAAAAAAAATATCTGTATATCATTTTATAGATTGAGTTAATCTATATTATCTACTGTTGGTGGATATGTACAGTTGATTATCTATTAAAATACTATAGATACTCACAAATACGATTGAAATCGATATAGCTTCGACCAGATCCTTGAATTGTAAAGTTCCCCATCAAAATCCGAGAAGATGTTGTTATAACGACAACATATATCACGTTGGCTTGAAGAACAACTGTGACGTTAAAGTGACCTTGATTATCAGAGTCTCTACTACGGCTCAGCAAATTTTTCAGCACATCAAATGGATTGAAGTTACTTATATAGATATAAGCGTCCATGGTTTTTATCTCGCTGTTAATTAGTAAAGTATAATATCCAGTTATAGTGACGTTCATTTGTATCGCTTCATAATACGAAGCTAATTCTGAACAATCTTGAAAATAAATTGAACTATTCGAGGTCAGTGATGATAAATACATTGATTTTATTAGTAATGAGGTATCTATTGCAAGAAAAAATCAATGAATATTTGTATTTACAATAAAGAAAAAAATGATGGCACATATTCTTATTTTACTTTTCACTGTTTACTAATGAGAGTTGAATCGTTTATTTTAGAGGAATGCTTTTAATAGAGAAATAAAGAAAAAAACATGAAATAAAATATCTCTTTAGTGTCCTTACAGTAAGTATCGATGTTAGCCCTTAAAATCCGCATGTTCTTTCCAAAAGACGTTGTCATTATTATAATAAGAAAATGTTATAAAATCTCGTATACAAAAACGAGTACCCTTCTGGACTAAGGAAGTCTGGTAAGTGATAAATTTACAAATTTCTAACTTCTTCATTATCATGTTTATCTTCAAACTTTTCTTTTCTCATAAACATAATGCAAAACATTAGTTTTTTAATTTTTTTGTCAATATCACTAAACATAACAATAAACTATCTGATGAAACGATTTCATAAAGTTTTAGTCAATCTACGAGTATGGCATGACATCATCAAGAAAATATCGGTTGAAAGTGGCGTTCAATTTATTGTTAGAATATTGCAAGAGCGACTCTTTCGTTATTTTTTATTCTAATACAGCGTGTCTTTAATAATCAGATAAGGATGGAACTTTTTTCGTCTTCTCATTGCTGGCATTTTTTTTATGAAGACACTGACTCACGTTTTAAATCTCACTTCTTTGTGATAATCCTGATTCTATTCTCGTTCGTCAACCAAAATCACGACCGCAAATATTACATAATCGTTTTCTCATCACGAAAGTAAAAATGACATTCTGAATCTCTAGAATTGCGCCACGAGTTGTGGTTAACACTCGAGCATAGGGTTACTTCTCTCTGACAGATATTTTATATCTACGAATTTGAAATCACATTGAACAACTATCCAAAGCGAATTTTTGTTGATTTCAAAGTAATTTGGGAAACTTTGTTTTGTTATGGAATATGGAATTCGACGCGAGAAGTTTCTTTTCACATCAATATTTACTTCGAAGTGTTTTTAGTTCGATTAAAACTTTACTTCTTATGAGTGTTTTACGTTTCATAAAATCATTGTACTCATTATTTTCTACAGTCAGCAGCGGTAAGTGAGTGCAAATAATGATGAATGAAAGCAAATTTATCAAGAAAGTTCAATAAAAACGGTTGAATTCATCTCTGATTTTCCTACTAAATATATAGACATTCTAACTTCCATATGTATCATGCAACTAACATGACAATAATGTTCTCGATTGACTTTTGTGGAAAGTTATGAATAAACAAGGTTTTTATTTTATAACAATAGTATGTTAGGGTGAAACTTGAAATTTGAATTTACCTATTCAATAAAATCAGTTCGAAATCCATTAGGAGTTTTATCTTCGTCTTCTATAGTAATTTTTCTTTTTAATTCTCTGAATAAATATTCACTGAAATGATATTAGAGACTTTATTCGATCATCTTAAACTTACTACATGATTCTTCCAAGTATTGAAATTTTTGAATTCGACCATTTCGTGAATCAGTAACAAACATGTTTCCAGAATGATCAAAACTAAAGCTAAATGGATATCTCAATTGATTAGATTGTGATCCCCATCCATAACATCCAACTAAACATCGAAAACCATTCAAACCTGAACCAACAATGCGATCATTGTTTTTTTCCACAATGAATAAATATTTATCAGTATCTAATATAATTCCATATGGACAGTTAAGTGTAATTGTTGGATTTAGTGATTTACGTCCAGCCACTGTGATGCCATTTGATTTTCCTAACTGAAACAACTGAACTCGATCATTTTCACAATCAGCTACATATAAATCCAAATTCACATCGACAAAGATTCCATATGGACCATGGAATTGATTCAAGCCATGTCCAGTGACACCTGTTCCAGCAGCAACACGATTTGAAGTCATTAAAGAATCACTTAATAATCTTTTCACTACTAGATTATAATGAAACATTGAACAGTAAAGAGTATCATTAATATCGACAAACAGACCATCACATGATGAGGCGGCATTCATCACTGTGACAAAGTTATTTGTTTTTGCACTCCATTTCTGTACCCGACCATTCTCAATACCATAACTATCACCAATATAAATATCACCATTTGATGTCACGAAGAGAGATGAGATCTTTGTAAAATTATCATAGATGATCTTTGTTGGATTGAGACTCTCTTCATGCCATATCAGAATTGTTTTATTTTCTCGATTGGCAGCATAGATTGTGTTGTTTATGCTCACAAAAATGACAGTAGGATCTTGACCAACAACCGATTGATCAGCAAACGTAATTCCATTGGGATTCCAAATGGCTTCTGAGCAAAATTTTGGTTGATTGAATGAAAGAGCTAAAACAAGAAAAATATAAAAAATATTACAAAAGAACTGTAAAAGAAATGAAATAGTTAATTTATGATTTTCCTTGAAAAAATCCATTGAAATTAGTTTGAAAAGATTTCTATGATTGTTTTTCTATTTTCTTGGATGACTTGTAAATATTAACTTACGGAGGGATGAATTCATCGAAGAAGATCAACGTCTTTTATGGAATTTTTTGTTGTAAAGGATAAAGAAGGGTGTGCGTGGGTGTAGATGTGGGAGGGTGTTGGTGAGATTGTGAGTGAGATTGTGAGTGACAGTGTAGGTGGAAGTGTGAACAAGAGTGAAAGGGATAGTACCTGTACTTACCACACCGACACCGACACTCTCATTCACACCCGCATCCATCATCACACTCCAGGCCTGATCAAGGCTGAGTCCTGACTGAGTCAGAAACTGAGCGTCTCGATCAGAGCTCGGACTCGATACATCCTTAGAAGTGGATGATCAACTGACTTCATACCTCACTTCAATTTTCATATATAAAACTCTTTGATTACATCAAATACAACAGAATTATTTTATCAATCATAGTATTTTTTATATAATGGAGAGGATCTGTATGGGATAAATGGATCTACATCTTATCTCAAACCATAAAAGTCAAATAATTCCACAAAACTTTGTTTTGATTGACGTTAATCCGTTGATCTTTTCTTTTTTTGACTTTGATTTCATCTGGAGAAGTCAATTAATCCTTTTTTCCATGTGTTATAATGTGATTTGATGAAATAGATTTCTTTCCTTTTTGTTGTGTTTTGAATCTCATCTCAAGATCTTCAAATAAATTTGATATCCAGAGAAGATCCCAGTAATGTTCAAGTTTTTAATCATTTTGAAACTATCAATCAGTATTACAATTTATACTTTCAAATTTTGAGTACACTCATCCTTCAAAATAAGAAAAAAGTCTCGCATAGCCACTGCATGCATTCAAATCTAGGTTGGCGTCTTCTTAATCAACGAAGGGTTCATTCACTGGCGTACTCTTCTATCTATCCAACATTTTCTGTTACATCACAGGATAAAATGCAAGGTACTTGAAGTCGATAATGCAGCACTCTAGTCATACATACCATCATCTTCGTTGATGATCTGCATTCATCCAATGCCACCATTATCCTCGGTTACAAAAGACTATACTAAATCTCATTACTATCTATATTCTCACTCCACTTATGTGCGCTCTATAAATCATACTGTCATCCATCCACATTCGAAAAACACCCATAACACTATTCAACACGCGTGAAAAGGGTAAATGTGTGAAATTCGTCGAGACTGTGATGATTTATATTTTGTTCGATAGTTTAGACTTTGAAATTAATTTTGAATATAAAATCAAAAGCTTCACGATGATTTTTATTATGGAATAACATGCCATGTTTAGAAACAACCGGTCAATCTATTTGCTTTTTTTTAATGAACGTTGCAAAGATTTTTCCAATGTCATATACATATAACTCATTTCATCAATGGTAGTTATGACAATATTTTGTGATTTTAACGAAGCTTGATAATAAAATGAATCATTATAGAGTGTCAAATTTTATAACCTATTATTTGACTCACTTTTGTGCAACTAAAACTCGAATGAATAATATCATTTTTGTGCAACAGTTGATCTTTAGTATGTGATAAACGAAAGTATTTACCTGATATTTCAATGTTGGGAATGAACAGAAGAAGAATAATAAATGTGTAGATATTCAACATCATTCAACAAGATTTTTTTCATAAATTAGTCAACTAATAAAATAATCTTCTTCTACTTTATCTTCGATGAAAACAAAATGACACTGGTTGTAGATTTTCTCTGTAGTTATATATCTCTCTTTTTCTCTCATTCATTTCTTCCAAAATAACAAAAAGAGAAAAAAATCGTATTCTAGAGAAGGTTTCATCGTAGATAAGACAAAGCATTGCTTTCAGATTTGATTAATGAACAAAACTGATTATTTAATTTGATATTTCCTATTGAATTTCATTGTTTTCGAAAGAATAGAATAAAATTTAAATTTGAAATGATTTTTTTCTTTTTTGAATATTATAGAAAAATTTTTGATTTTATTGGTGAAGATAAAGAAGAATTAATCAATATCGATGTCAATCATCAGACGTGTTTTCAATAAAAATACGATATTAAAAATCATCGCCAATATTTGATTGACGTCAATGAATAAATCATGATTCGTTTGATATATTTCTATTTGAACCTGTCAAATAATTTGCTTTGTCAGGACTCATTTTTGATAACGTTTTTTATTTCTCTATGCGCAATAGATATCTTTGAGAGAAGATTCCTTCATTAAGGGTGTGGGCGTGGATGTAAGGTTCGATTTGACGATCATATTAGCGATACCTATCCTCGCCCATACTCTCAAAATATGTCGCTTCATTTACATAACACGTGAGCACCGTTTTTCTTTCAAAAAATTGGAAGAAACCAATTGTTGACAACCAACAGAAAGAAACACATTTACCTGATGCAAATACAAACATAACATCTTTACTCGTCAGAAGGAAAGAAAGAATGCGTGCGTCAACTAAAATTACTTATTAATGCAGCAAATTCACTCTTACTTATTTCAAAAAACACGTTTTAGGGGGGTAGGTAGTTATTTGAAAAAAATCCAAATGACTCAATTACAAAACACTGATGTAAAAAGGAAAAAAACAGCTCACCGTCGTATAAAAAGCAGTACTTTTTTGGAGCTACACTCGTTCAATTTCTGCTGACTAGTCAGTTAATCAATTGTTTTACATTCTGCGAATATGAAAATTTATCTGAAATCACTAGACAATATCGTTCTAACCTTCGAAGTAAACGCCTCGGACACGATCGAACAGTTGAGACTAAAAATCGAAGAAAAAACGGGTATCAAACCACATGCCATGCGAATTCTATTTCAAGGTAATGTCCTACAAGACTGCCACACATTAAATGATTATAAAATCACACATGAAAGTACAATTCAGACTACAACGAGTTTGCAAGGGATCGTTACTCATTAATCAATATCGACCTGGAAAGATGAAAGCTGGAATGAACTTACTTGGACTACAACACTTTTACTTATTTCACTATTAAAAAATTTGATTACAAAATACTCTTGATTTTTTTTGTACACATTTGAATAAAATATGTCTAGCTCATGTCCACAGCTGAAGCTAGTCGATTCAACGCTACGATATGTTTGTGAAGCCATTGATGTACTCGATATTGTTTCTTCACCTACTTCTCTTTTCATTGTTAATTTTGGTTCAATCCATGAATTCAATTCGATATATGCCATGAAGATGATCATTCAATATTTGAAAGAAGCTACAATACCATTGAGGACAATTCATATTAGAGTGTGACTTGTGGTCAATCTTTTTATGAACAATGCTTGACACCAAATACTATTACAATTGGGGTTTCATCCGCTTCACTTCCCTAGCTATCACGTAAACCGTGTAACGTGTCGAATCATTGTGTTGCTACTTTTGCACAAGATAGAGAGGAACGTGAGGCATTCAAATATCAATCTTAATGAAATTACTTAGATATCTCAATCCATTCGTAAGGGTCGCAAGTGAGATTTTTTTCCCTCGATCAAAATTCATCATAACTCGGTCATCAAAGAGACCGAATAAAGATGTTAATATTAAATTTATTCTAGGATTTAAATAGGTGTGTATATGAAATTTGATGTACTTATACATTGCATTAACAATATTATGATCATATACTTCTTTCGTAAGTTGTATTCTGTACAGAACTTTCAGTATATATATTGATAGATTAAATTATTAATAAAGAAAAAAAAAGAAATGTTAATCCATAAAAATCGATATATTTAGTCGTTTTCAGTTTAACCACGTGATTAAATTATACAATTTATAAAATAATACATTCATTAGAATTCCGATCATTGATTATTTTATTTTCATCGTTGATTGATAAATCAATTACAATATGTCCATCATAATAAGTGACTTTTAAGTTATTTCGACGGACAAATTCTTCAACTTGTGGTTTTATTTTGGGTATTTTATTTCGTGAATTATTTCCCATTCCTGTAATAATTGTTAGTTGTGATAGATTTTCGAAACGGCATTTATTTAATCTATCTTCTACATATTTCAAGGCTTCTGAACATCATTCGAACGATTTTGATTAAAATGTTTAAAAGTTAATTCAGCTGCTTGCTGATTTTTTTCATTCGTTTGTATATAAAGATTGTTCTTGTTTATTGATAATAATTTTGCTTGAGATTTATTTCCAGATCGATATTCCAATTGAGAGTGTCTTGATGCTTCTTTTGCTTCGTTCCTAAGTCGATATGCTTCACATCGTAATGATACAGCTTCAATAGGAATTCCATTTTGTACGTAAGCTTCAGTATTTTAGATAAAACCGAATTATCACCTTCATTAGTAGAAGAAAATAGATTATCCATAATTCAGATTAGTTTCTTACTAAAATACAGATTATTAATCAAGTACTATTTTTATCGTAAATAATGTTATAAAGGACAAATATGCAAATGAAAAAATGCTGTTATATCTGAATGGGAGACGGACAACTGTATAAATCTATCTTCGAAATTTTCTTTTAGATATTAGTTCAAGATGTTCACACGTAGTGAAACTTACGTTAAAAATGTATTATTTTTTTCTTGTTTTTATCTTTCGATTAACTTCTTAAAAATAAGTACTCTTGCCTTCTAATGTGAAGAATCAATGCTGCGAATATTTTGTTCTTTGCCACGTTGTGCCTTCCATTTTGTTTTTCTTTTGTTATATCATAAAATACTTAGCACCATATTCTGATTCATGTATATAAAATCGAGTGAACAGTAAAAGGAGAATGAAAAAAATATGCGTCTTTTTCATTCTTCTTCTTCCATCTGTTCTTTTATACTCATCAAAAGAATATGATATAAAAAATAATAATTATATCGATGTTCGTCATAAACATTCTAGATTGAACGATCAAATTCAGTCTAATAGTTTCTTTATTACAAAACTAAAATTCATCATACTTAATTAATATTTTTTAAGAAAATGATAAATGTGTTCCAGGGTGAGTTGTAGATAAGAGCAGTCAAAATCTGAAAATATTCTATGAACTAGCATACTGTTGTTGATTGTGTTAATCAGGTAAAAATAGATAGTAAATAAATGATTTGCGATATAACCTGTCCCTATTTACGTGATTAGTTTTAACATTCTTATATAAAATCGATCGAAATTATTGATCTATAAAAGATAATTATTTCAAACTTTATTTATATTAAAAGAATATCTTTGAAAACGTAATTAAGATGATATAACAATGAATCAACGTATTCCATTGAGTAAATTTACTTTTTGAAAAAAAAATATAACTAATAGTATTATTTATGAATTATTTGTTATATAATATTTCAATTTTAAACATATATATTTTTCAGATTTCTTAATAGTATCCTTTCCCTTTGCTTTAAAAGTTGCACGAATACATAATCATCGATTTCTGTTGGCATTTTTCTGAATATATATCGTATTTTTATTAAAAAACATATATGGTGTTGTTTCAATAATGTTAATTTATAATTCATTTAGGACGTGTACATTCATATTGAAATAAATTGATTATTGATTTTTAATACAAGCTGTCTATCGATATGTTTATGCATTGATAATATTATCTACACTATTTCAACACTTTAATAATTACTTAGTTTTTGTATAGAAGTTTACAAGAATGGTGTGTAAATTTGAGCATATGAATAATTTTATTTTCTTAACATAAATTTACAGTTTCTCGATTTTTTTCAATTAGTATACAATTAAATTGTGAATTGCCATGGAATATTTATGCTAATTCTGGAAAATTTGTGAATTATTCTTTAATGTTCATCTTACCGACTATTAAGCAAGTCAATAAATTTTAGGCTTGCTCTATTTCATTCACTACAAGACTGAGTAAAGCAAATATCAAGTTAGAAAATATGATATATGAAAAAAGAGTGAACGATTGTATTATATTCATCATTAAAATAAATTTACTTGATTATAATAAAAGATTTTAAGTTTATTTGAAAGGATAAAGGAATGATACATATGAAATATTTAAGTTATATAAGAATAATTAAAGAATAAAAGGTATATTTGGAATGTAGAGGGATGTGTAGTAAAGAATAAAACTCATATTTATGAATGTGAAAAAAACTGAACCCGATTGTTAGAAGTATCGGATACATATAAGTTCAGTTGATTATCAACTATGACCCAATAGGGATAATTTAATTGACTCTGACTAATGCCAGATGAACCTGTGACGCCAGCGATGGTTGTGCCGTTGGATTGGCCTGCAAAGAAGAATTGAATGCGATGGTTTCCTGAATCAGCTACATAGATATTTCCCATTGGATCTAATGTGATGCCGACCGGATTATTGAGAAGTGTCGATGTGCTACCACTTAATCCAGTAGGACTGCCAATGACGAGTGTCCAGCTACTTGCACCTAATACCCAACGAACAATATTATTGTTTGGATAATTAGCAATAAAAAGACTATTTGAGGGTGAATCAAAAGTAAAACCATATGGAAACGCCAACTGTGTAATATTACTTCCTGGACCATTTCCACCAGCAACTACTGTACCCGAAGAAGCATTCAAGAGATATTGCATTATTCGATGATTGAATGTATCAGCTATATAAAGTGTCCCTGTGCTTGAGTCACGGGCTATACCACACGGTCCACATAAGGTATCGTTTGTAGATCCCGGAGTACCTAAATTAAAATTGAATAGAACAATTTTTTTCTGATATTTTATTATGCAATTTTAGTCATATGTGACTCTTTTTTGCAATCACTTACACATCGAGTTCCATTGATTTCTATCTTAGAAAGGTAGATTATCTGTTTTGTTTATATATACTCAAAAATTCAAGACCAACATATTTATTCACGAAGAATAACTTGAATAGCAAGAAATCAATAACATGGCATTATTCTCCATAGCATTAACTAATAGTTAAATACATGTTCTCTCTATGTAACAGATTATTCTCAACAGACTTTGTTTTGGTGCAATTCTCAATTAATAGATCAGAAAAAATATTAAATAAAGATTTCAGTCATAAAACGAAAATTAACAGTTTCGAGTATTTCTGTCTATCTTTTCATACCTAGAATACCGGCAATCGTAGTGCCAGATGATGCACCATTTGCCCAATATACAACTCGATGATTATTTCTATCTGTAAAATACATATTATCATTGGAATCAAGCACAACACTGACAGGTATGTTTAAAGCAATTGAGCTTGCACCAGCAGTGGCATTGGATAGACCAGCCACCGTTGTACCATTGGATGCATTGATCATCCATTTTTGAATGCGATTGTTGTTAAAATCGGCAATATAAAGTGAGTCGGATGAACCTAATGCGGTCCCATATGGATTAAGAAGTAGATTATCTGCTGTGCCTGTAGAACCGTTACTCGCACCGGCTACAGTGATGCCCGTTGTATTCCAACGATACAAGATCGAAGCAGCTATAAAAACAAATGAAATCTATAGCATACATAGTACACCTTACTGTTAGTTACAGAATCGATAAATGTACATTATCTTTCAGGTTCTCTTATAAGCTATGAGAGTTAAC